ATTGACTTCTATGGGAACCGTTTCTAAACCACACATCAGCTTGTGAACAGGATTTCAGTGTGTTTTTCTCTTCAAATCCTGTCTTGAACCACATCTGAACTGCTGAAAAAATGTTTTAAATATGCACCAGAACCAGAGCTCAAAACTACACCGCACCTAGTGTGAATTTGCTGTTAGCATTAATTCTTACATTTGTTTTAGTTAGGAGGTATATTTTTGATCTGCAGAACTACATTTTTATTTGCCTTAATAGCATACCCATCCTTCATTACTAGTGAGATGCTCAATTTTTTTTTTTTTTTTTTTTTTAAAGAAAAAAGCCTCCTGATCCTGAGAGGAACCAGAAAACTCCATGCCTAAAAAGAATACAATTTCCTACTGCGCTGTGCTTTGTGAACTACTTAAGATGTGGTGCCTGCACCTGATTCTGACTGAAGAATTGGCTCAGGTGAGGAGATCACTGGATAGGCAAGTGTCCTTATATTAAAAGTCAATGGGAATTTTTTTTTTTGGGTGGTCTGGAAGCTCCGTTTTAACTCTATCAATAGATCTAAATATCCACCAATATCCTGTTCTGGCGTTTAGAAACAGATCTTTAATTTGAAAGAAAAAAAAAAAAACCTGACGAATGATGGGAAGTCTTACTAGCAATGAAGGGAGGAGGATAGGTGTGCCCTTTTTTACTAAAGCAAATAAAATTGCAGTTTTTCAGATCACAAATATACCCCCAAACTCTAAAACAAGAACAAGTGGTGTAAGAAATAATGCAATAGGAAGCAATTATTGATAGTGGATACAGCACTGCCCTTAGGATCCAAAGGTCTAAATCAGTACTTTTTCAGGGGGTGCGGGATCGTATGACTACTATGATGCTCAATGAACAGATGTCGAGTATATGCAATGACTCTCAACATAAATTTTTGAAAATATGGGAACCGTGGTTGCAATATGCCTTTCCCACGCTCCCCCCGGCCAGTGTAGGGAGGTGATTGAGTTTTGTATTGGCGCTCATGGACCCTTGCTCTCTGGTGTGTGTTTTTGTTTTTTCTCTTTCTTTCTTCTCTGCTTTTCTTCTTTCCTTTTCTGTTTGTTTTGATGTGACAGTGGACAGCTGTCTTTAGTTGCAATAATCTGAGTTTCACTGATGTTATTGTAACCTATGTGCCATTGATGGCCCCTGCGTGGGCATGCGTTTTGCCTTATTGGAATTAGAGCGTTGTCTGCTCTATTATACATTTTCTATCGGTGCAATTGATAGCCCCTGCGTGGGGCGTGTTTTGTTGCCTCTGTTTTATACTGTTTAAAATTAATAAAAACCATTGGAATACAAAGGTCTAAATCAGACTTCTGAAAAACTCTACAAAACTCCTGACAAAATGCTTTCAGCACCCTATGATATTGAAAGATATACCATAACTTCCTATGAGACACTGCTCTACAAAGCCGTCTATATTATATCTCTCATGTATTATCTAGGTAACAAGCAAATGGATGCTATGCTTACCAAGACACAAGGCAATTATTGCACAATTACCAGTATTTGTCTTATGCAACCACTTAATCCTCACAAGGGCAATCAGAAGCATGAATAAGCAGTGAATATATAAAAAAAAAAATAAAAAAAAGCATCCTTAAGCAAGGCATTCATTATCACATGCTTCAACACCATATTTAAAATATTAAAATGGTAATACTCTAAACAATCAAAGTTGTATGTTGCCATACTGAAATATAAAAAAAAAAAAAAAAAAAAAAAAAAAAAGGACTGGACCCCCATAGCAAACACGGATCTAAGCCTACAGGCTGGCCTGAACGGTCTTCAAACTGTAGAAAACTCAAACCTGTTGACACTACATAAATATTTTCAGAGAAAACTCATTCTTGCAGACGTTGTGTTCTAAAACCTAAACTGGAGTTCCACCCAAAAGTGGAAGCTCTGCTTTTCTGCCTCCTCACCCCAATTGCTGCCACATTTGGCACCTTTTGGTGGGGAGCGGGCACCTGGTTTTGAAAGGTACCTGCTCCCACTTTGCGTCTCACTTCGCCGCTTAGTTGTAGCTGCTGACTTTTTTTTTTTTTTTGGAGGTGGCAGAGGCCGGAAGAACTTTAATCAACGCAATATACAATGAAACTCAGTGCCAAAATGCCCTTGACAAGATACATTGCAGAAAAGCCCCATTTAACAAAGACCTGAAAAGTACAGATCTTGGTACAACATACTGTACCAAGTTCCCGTCAACGCTAACGTTTAAACAGTTAGGCATCTATGATGGAGAAAACAAGAGTATAGTCTGGCTCATCTCCTTAAGCAAAGATCATATGACAAAGTGCCTATGGCCAGCACTGAACAGAGCCTGGCACAGCAGCAAAGCATTTTATTAACCATTGTCCATCTGACCAAGAATGTGCCCAAAATTTTAACATTTAAGTAAAAAAGGTCTGCTTCAACTGCACCAGCTTGTAAGGAACATCAGCCGAGACTGAAAAGACAGTTGTGTGTCCTCCCATAGAACACATAGTTCAACAGCAAGATGGCAAGGCACTCCCCTTCTTCATCCCAACAGACTAACTGCAGATTACACTGTCCACTTGTAAGTCTTTACTATAAAGACTAAGTTCAGGGAAGTAGCACAAAGCAGGAACCAGCAGCACTGAAAGTTGTAAACTGCAAGTGTTGGAGCAAGAAATGTAATGTAATCACAGAACCAAACGTTTTGGTGAAAATAGTCAACAGGGTCGCAAGAAACGGGTCAAGAAAAAAAAAATGCAAATTAACTGCCAAAAAAGCTGAAACCCAACCTCCACTGAACAAGACACATGTGGAAATGTCAAGACTGGGCCAAGAAATATCTGAGGACAACTTTTTCAAAAGGTTTGATGGACTGATGAGATGTGAGTGACTCATGGATGGGTCCATGGTTGGATCAGTAAAGGGCACAGAGCTCCACTTCGGCTCAGACACCAGCAAGGTGGAGGTGGGGGAACTTGGTATGGGCTGGTATTAATAAAGATGAGCTAGTTGGACCTTTTTGAGGTGAAGATGGACTCAAAATCAACTCCCAAACCTACTGCCAGTTTTTAGACGACACGTTCTTCAAGCAGTGGTACAGGAAAGTCTGCATCTTTCAAAAAGACCATGATATTTATGCAGGACAATGCTCCATCCCACGAAAAGTACTCCACTGTGTAGCTAGCCAGTAAAGGCCTTAAAAGATGAAAGAATAATGACATTGCCTCCTTCCTCACCTGACCTAAACCCTATTGAGGGCTTGTGGGCCCTTCTTAAATGAGAGATTTACAGTGAAAGAAAACAGTACACCTCTCTAAACAGTGTCTGGGAGGCTGTGGTTGCTGCTGCACAAAAAGTTGCTAGTCAACAGATCAAGAAACTGACAGACTCTGTGAATTGAAGGCTTATGACTTACTGAAAAGAGGGGTGGCTGATTTTTATTTTTTTTTTTTTTTAAATGTCAAATATTTGTAAATTTTGAGTTGTTTATTGTCCCACTTTAACAGATTACAGTAAACAAGTGAAATGGGAAAATTTTTGTTTTTCATTTAGTTGCATATTAATTCTGCACACTAATAGTTGCCCAATAATTGTGCACACAGATATTCTCCCAAGTAAGCCAAAACCTCACTTTTACTTTCTTAAATATTCAGGATTGAGGATTATTAACAATTTAAAATTGACGTAGAACACTGTAGTTGTTCAATAATTAAATTAAACCTCAAAAATACAACTTGCCTAATAATTGTGAACACAGTGTATAGCCTAAAGTTCCACTTTATTTATTCAGGAACTGAATTTAGTCTCTTTTGAGAGGAGGAGATTAAGGGGGGAATATGATCACTCCATGTATAATACATAAGGTGGGGATATGATCTCCATGTATAATACATAAGGGGGATATGATCTCCATGTATAATACATAAGGGGGGATATGATCAACATGTATAATACATGTATATGAAATATAATACAGGGGGGATATGATCTCCATGTATAATACATAAGGGGGGATATGATCTCCATGTATAATACATAAGGGGGGATATGATCAACATGCATAAATACATCAGTGGTTCATATAGTGAACTTGGTGTAGAGCTATTCACCGAGGTCATCACGGAGGACAAGGGGGCACGCTTTCCTTGTTTGGAGATTACATTTATTTTCCTCCAGATGTAAAGGTTTCTTCACAGTAAGAGCTTTGGAAATGTAGAATAGACTCCCTGAAGGGTTGTTTCTGGCCAGCTCAGTGGATTGCTTTTAAAAAAAAAAAAAAAAAAAAAAAAAAAAAAAAAAAAAAAGGCCTGGATTTTTTTTCTTGGATACACAGAATATAATTGGATACTAACATTTATAGGTAAAGTTGATCCAGGGAATATCCAGATTGTCTCTCGGGGGATCAGGAAGGAATTTTTTTCCCTGCAGGAGCAAATTGGATCATGCTTTGCTGAGTTTTTTTGCCTTCCTCTGGATCAACTGTGGGTATAGGACTAACTTTTTTTTTTTTTTTTTTTTTTTAATGGTTGAACTGGATGGGACATTTGTCTTTTTTTCAGCCAGACTAACTATGTAACTTTAATTGGGCAATGGTCTTCAACATCTGTCCTCCCTATAAATTTAAATTGAGAATTAAGCTTACAGTTCAAGAGACTAAGAGAAAAAAAAAATATAGGAGAGACAACTTTTCTGTTTCTAGGAGTTGTGCCAAAAGAAACTGTATATAACCCTCATTTCTCACAAGGACTGGAGAGCAGCGATATCCACACCAGAAGCCCTAATTCTGACAGCACCAAGCCAACATTATCAGATTCTGATGTGAATATAGAGAATTGTGGGGAATCTTGCCTCTGAAGACACATGCTAACAAGACTACTAAAAACAAAATATATCTCTTTTAGTGGCGTAAGCCTTTATACTCAAAAAAAAAAAAAAAAAAAAAAAAAAAAAGTAATACATTCTGTTAACAATGCTAGCATTTAAGACAAACCTCATCTTTGTGCTTCTGGCAGAAAACCAGGAACTGAGTAGCAGCATCTCCCTTTCTGCCTCTTGCATTATGTGCTCCTGACTTCCTTTTCTGGATAGGCAAGGACATGGCTCCTTTAGCATCTGGGCTTTCAGTAGTGGTTTTCCAATCAGGATCAGTCTCTTGACAGCTGGCAGAGGAATTCCTTGAGACTCTTCTCCTTTTGCTAGGCACTCCATCTTTCTTAGGACTTTCAGGAGGTTCATCGGAATCATCATCGTTACAAGACTCTGCAGGAACAGCAGCCTTCCCAACCACTTTAGGATTTAGATGGGGACGGTCTTTAATATAAATGAAAGTAAACTTATCTTTCCTCCCCTCCACAGTCATCTGCAAGGCTTCTTTCACTTGTTCCATACCTATGTCCCACTGGGTTTTCAATTTGCCAGTTATCGGTTTCAAAAGCTGTACAATAGGATCAGAAAAAAAAGAAAAATTAAAAACAAACCTCCATGGTACCTTAAAAGTTCTACACCGCATAATAAAAGCTGTTGCAATAAAATTGTTGCTTCATTAAATGTTCCTATGGGAGGACATTTAGTGGTCAAATTCTATAGTATTCAACAATGAGACTCACTGGTTGCAAGAAAACAAAGACCTGAATGATTTCTGTCACAGGCCCTCCTATAATAACCACCTCAAAGCTGTGACTCAAGAAAATCCCGATCTCACAGCACTCAGCTGTACATGCAAGGGAGTTAAACTGTCAATGAAAAACAGAATTTTTCACGACTCACCATAAATTCCTTTTCTTGGAGTCCATTGAGGGATCCAAGAAGTTGGTTATATTGCTACCTACAGGAGGATTGGACATGAACAAATAAAAACAAAAGTCCAGCCCAGAATAAGCTGTTCCACAACAAGCATGCCTCAGTTTTGTAGCAAAGCAGCACAGAGCATGATCATAAACACACCTGTTGAAGCCCTTAATGGGTGCCAATTAATGGATTTTACAGGGAGTACAAAAATCATATTTTCTTTATCATCCATTGATAGACACGGAAGTCTTTAAACTTTAGAATGTCCAAAAACAGTTCAACTGAGGAATGGGCAACATGAAACTACCTGCCAACAGGCCCAACTTACCAGGAACTGGGGACAAACTGCAGCTCAAAGAACAACCTGAAGGATAATTACTCTTGAAGCAAGTATCAGATGAGGCAGAACATAGAAAATGTATGCACAGAAAACAAGGTGGTAGCCTTGCAAATCTGGAAAATGTTGCTTGATGTCAAAATGTCCAAGAACCCTTTATCAATCTAGTCAAGTGTACCTTTACAGGAAAGGATAAAACCTAATCCTTGACACCATTAGATGGTTTAGGCAGGCCTTCATCCAAGCTTGAGATGGTGGAACGAGAATCCTGTCCATCCTTACAGAGTCCATATAGGGTTACAAAAAGACCTCAGTCCTCCTAAAGAAGCAGTGGCTAAGAGATGCTCACACAGCCAGACCCACACGTAGACAATGGAATTAAATTTCCTTTTGGTGAACTGGAACAAGATAGGAGCGACAGAAGAACAGTCCTTGGTTGGGGCGAAAGGCAGAAACGATCTTGGGCAAGAAGAAAATTCAGAACCTCCCTATGCAGAAGCAGAAAAGGTTCCTTGAATGATAGGGGCACCAGTTTCAAAAAGCTTTTCAGTAGGTGGTGGCATCATGAAATACCACTGTATGGGTGAGGGTACAAAGTGTAATGTCTCTAATGGCTTCAGATCTGTTTATGAAGCAGAGACATCCAGATTCAGGTCCCTTAGAGTCACAGGGGAAGGAACATGGAGGGAATCTACATGAGAGATCCCTGTACAAAAAGGGTCCTAAATTAAGAAGGGAGAGACCAACAGACTCTAAAAGGAAGATAGAAACTGGCAGTCAGAAACCGGACTTTGAGAGCCAAACGCTGGTCCAGTCCCAGCTGTAGAAAGGAAAAGATTTGTCCCAGGGAGAAACTCTGAGGGTAGAAGCCCCCAAAACTTACACAAAGTCTTCCATGTTCATTGATACACCTCGCTTCATTGCCTATATTCAGAATATCCATAATAGTGATAGAAGGATGGTAAAAGTAGTGTATCTAAAAGCAAATAAAATCGGGTCTTGGAGTCAGAGGCAAACTTTTATTGCAGGAGGAAGCAAAATTATAATAGAAGCAAACAGGCCCATTCAGTTTGAATAATATGACAAATTAAATGCATTTTGGAACAACGCACTGTGCAATCTGATTGTGTGGCTTTTGTAAGGGTGTATGAGGGTCTGCCTGATTTGGTGGTAGGTGGAGTGTTTGAGTGTTTCCATATTGCATGGTTTTTATGGTCTGGAGGGGATTGTACAGAGATTTTGTTATCGGATACTGCAGAAGAGTAGAGGAAATTGCGGATGTCAATCACAAACAGAAAGCACATACAAACTGAATGAAATATTAAGCATATGTACCTGGAATAGCGGTGTTATCCATTTGTGTCGGAGAAAGCATGTATTTTACATATGAAACTTTTTTTTCCCAAGCAGTGTTTAAATGTTTTAACCACTTTTTGAAATATAGTAAAGAGTTGTATGTGTGAGTGCCCTTTGAGGAAGCAACCTTATCAGGTAAAAACTGAAGCAACTCAGAATCACAGTCACAGCAGCTGATGGCTCAGTGGTCACTGACAAATCGGAGAATCTGAGGGAGATCGCACTTGGCCTGTGCAGTCAACAAATAATTGGGTGATTTGGGCCATAATGTCTTGCATGATTGTAGCGAAAACCTCGGCCAAGAGGGCAGAGGAACTAATCACATCCAACAGACAAAGGAAAAACAGGATACCAGGTTGCAGACATTAAGCAGACGTGCTACAAACAGCCAAGAACAGTTTAGCAGAGCGTGAGCTGGTGGCACACAGCAAAGTGGTACTTCCCAGACGTGTCAGAAATGTTGCAACTGTGTGGTGGTAAGGCTTAGGGTATGAGACAAGGCCCCAGGTACTAAAAAGAGCTGCAGCAGGTGAGGGTCAGACGACAGGTGATCAAAGTCACCGTAGGTGAGAGCAGGGTAAGGATTAATTTTTCTTGACATTTTGCAAAGCAGGAGCAGTAGTGAGGAGATGCTTCCTCAACTCTGTATGATACAAAAGAGCACCAAGAGTGCACAACACAGCAGGTGACAGAACAGAACCACTTCTGTGGCAGAAACTGGGAATTCTAAAAGGCACCCAGGGACCTATGTACCTGAGGACCAAAGCAAGTCTTCAGACATGAGGCAAGCAGTGAGGAAATGTCAGCAGCTCCGGACCTGGAAAGGCATCTGTTAGGCAGAATGGACTTTGGAAAGCACCCTACGCAAAACCCAGTGACCAAAGGTAACTTCCAGGGTGTCCCCACAATGCCCAGTCCAGCAGGATTGAACACAGCAATCTAATAGCCAGGATGAGGACAGCTACACCAGGGAGTTCCAGTTGAAGGGACGAGTTCTAACAGCAGTGTCCAGTCTTGACTGAAGAAAATTGCTGGAGTAAAAAAAAAAAAAAAATATGGTGCTAGCAAAAATAGGTTAGTCTTTTATACAGCAGAGCCAAAACAAAACTGATATCCATCCTAGGACAATAGCAAATAAAGGAGGCATGCTTGTAGTAGGAGGGGTTACCCTGGTCTGTCCTAAAAATGTAATGTACCCTCCTGTAGGCTGCAGTATAACCCAAAAAGGTAAGATTTTCTGTATCCCTCAATGAACAGAGGTTGTAACCCTTCCACACTATCCAAAGCTTTAAAATAAAAAAAGAAGAATGGCCACAGAAAACAGATACTCTAACCGAAGGCACCCTAACTGAGCATGTTGCGAAGAGAACTGAAATAGTGCAGATATTTTGCTATATTATTATTATTATACAGTATTTATAAAGCGCCAATAGTTCACTCAGCGCTGTACATTACAAAGGGGGACAGAACATGTGACAGAACAATACCAATACAATGCAAAACATGAGGGGATCGGAGGGCCCTGCTCCTTGGAGCTTACAATCTAAAAGGGACGGGATAGTGGTACAGGAGGAGATAGCTGTGGGGGATGGAGTGGTAGGAAGAGTGGAGGAGGTCGGTCAAATTAGCAGGGGGTGGGGGGTAGGCTTCCCTGAAGAGATGGGTTTTCAGGGTGCGCCTAAAGGAGAGGAGAGTAGGTGATAATCTGATGGGTTGGGGAAGGGAGTTCCAGAGGATGGGTGACACCCTGGAGAAGTCCTGGAGGCGGGTATGGGAGGAGGAGACCAGGGAACTAGAGAGAAGGAGGTCTTGTGAGGAGCGGAGTGTGCGTGCTGGGTGGGTACTTGGATATTAGGTCAGTGATGTAGTTCGGGGCAGTATGGTGGACAGCTTTGTACGTCAGTGTTAGGATTTTAAACTTGATCTGTTGCGCAATCGGAAGCCAGTGGAGGGATTGGCAGAGGGGGGGGTGGCGGAGACAGAGCGGTTGGAAAGGTGAATGAGTCTGGCAGCCGTATTCAGGATGGACTGAAGCGGGGATACCCAGCGGCGAGGCAGGCCAGTGAGGAGGGAGTTGCAGTAGTCGAGTCGTGATATGATGAGGGAGTGGATGAGCTGTTTAGTGGTTTCTATATGAGGTATACAAGCTCAAATGAGAAAGCTGCTCAACATATAGACCTATCCTAACACTTCTCAAATGAGACAGCTGATCATTCCAACACAGGTTAGCTGTACACACCTTGACTTTTTCAGCTTTGCTTGTAGCCTGTTTAGCGCTCTCCTGGCAGAGCTGTTCATACTCTTGTTCTCCGGTGTAAGGCACAATACTCTTTTCGAAAATCCATGCTCTTTCTGGTGCATTTCCAAAAAACTGCACGTGATACTGGCGAAAGCTCTTTTTCTGTCCTGTAATAAAATGGAATGCAAATCATTTCTCCAGAAGCAGTCAACTTTTTAGGTTAACCGTTTCAATACCGTGCAATTTTACACCTTCCTGCCCAGGCCAGTTTTCAGCGCTCTCACACTTTGAATGACAATTGCGTGGTCATACAACATTGTACCCAAACAAAAATTTTATCATTTTCTTCACACAACTAGAGCTTTCTTTTGGTGGTATTTAATCAATGCTGGGGTTTTTATTTTTTGCTAAATTAACAAAAAAAAAGACCAAAAAGTTTGAAAAAAAAAAAAAAAAAAACACATTTTTCTTTGTTTCTGTTATAAAAGTTTACAAATAAATAATTGTTCTTCATAAATTTAGGCCGAGATGTATTCTGCTACATGTCTTTGGTGAAAATAACCCAAATTAGGATGTATTTTTTAGTTTGTAGGAAAGTTATAGAGTTCACAAACTATGGTATAGATCTGAATATTGATCAATCCTGAAGTACTGACGGCCAATCTAATTTCTTGAGGTCCAAGAATGTCAGAACAGTACAGATATCCCCCAAATGACCCCTTTTTGCAGAGTAGACAGTCCGACGTACTTCATAAGAGGCATGGCGAGTTTTTTGAAGTTGTATTTTTTTGTCATAATTTTTCGGAAAATGAAAAAATTAAAAAAATTTACCTATTTTTTTTTTTTACATACTGTCACCAGTGCAGTACAGCGTCATCATATAACTGGCATGGCGGTGAACAGGGACACTGACTGGTGACAGTATGAAAAAAAAAAATATATATTTTTTTTTTTTTTATTTAATTTTTTATTACATTTTTTTTTTTTATTTAAAGATTTTTTTTTTTCATATTTTACTTTGACCAAAGTAGTACAATGTTACCATAGTAACGTACTACTTTGGGGAAGTGATCAGTATTTTTTTTTTTTTTTTTTTTTTTACACACAATTTGCTTATAGCAAAGAATTACTTTGCTATAAGCAAGCATTTACCTGAATGAAAATGGATTCATTCAACTTTTTTTCTTTTTTTTTTTGTGCTTAGCTGTGATTTGGTCACAACTAATCACATGACATGTGCATGTGATTAGCTGTGACCATTCACAGCTAGGCACTAGTATACAATGGATGGCATCATGAATGAAGCCATCCATTGTATACAACTGTCATGTGACCTGCTGTGATTGGTCACAGCAGGTCACATGGTACCAGCAATGGGAGCCGGTACTTGGATCTGTCATCGGCCGTGTCCGAGGTGCACGGCCGCTGACAGATCGCACTGCTGCGCGGCTCTGCATTAGCGCAAACGGCGCATGTGCGGGAGCACGCCAAATGGCGTGCACCCAGAATGCAGGGACACAATTGAAGCCGCCAAACGGCCATTGGCCGGGCGGCTAATGGTTAAACATCCATTTATAGGAGTTGCCAAATGGCATCTGAAGAGTTCAAATCAGGATTGCAGTGGGTGCACCTGCTCTGTAGAGAGGAGATTCGGTTGGGCTTACAGACAGTAATGAGCTCATAATAAGCACAACCTTTGGAGCTATTCTCATTAGCTGATCAAATTACAATAAAAAGAAAGGACTGTGTATGGGATTATCCTATGCAGCTTCAGAGCACCAAAAGAGGGGCGAAACCACAAGAGTATGTTCATATACAAAATATACTGGAAGAGGATATAGGTCCCATATTTGTTTCTTCTGTGCATTTAGTAGTTAAATAAAACAAATCAATGAAAATCTACTACAGTTGTCTTCTGCAGGCTATGCATAGGTGCGTAGTCACAAAGCTAAATTCTTTCAAGTACAAAATTTCAAAAAAGCACATAGGATGACCACTTTCAAACTGAAAACTAAAATTATCCCATATTAAATAAAAAAAAGTAACATTCCAAGCCAAGGCTGAAATGCAAACATTACAGTCACACACCAATATAAACAATGTAAGGGCGTTCCCTCCGCTTAAAAGAAAGCTTCAAGCATAACTGCTGTGGCGGCTTCTAACAAAGCAGAACCTACCCTTGATCTTGGTGTGGCTGTGAAGAACAGGATCAGATGTCACAATACATGGCCACCATGGATATCCGGACACTTTAGACCACACAAGATCTCCAACTGAGAATTTACACGGAATTTCATTCTGCTCTTTCTGCTCAACGGATGTGTCTAGATCTGAAACAGACTTTTGAAAAATAAGAAAATATTACTATAATGGAGAAAAACATTGTATAACAGAAAATATAAGAAAAGACAAGCCTTGCACAATATTGACGACAGCTTAGAGGCCCTGTTCACCTTTTAAGAAAATAACCTATGCACACAAATAGGCTCAATAAGTTCAAACACACCATGCATTTTGGTAAAATATTGGAGGTTATTTACTAAAAAAACTGGAGAGTGCAAAACCTGGTGCAGCTCTGCATAGAAACCAATCAGCTTCCAGGTTTTACTGCCAAAGCTTAAATAAGCAAGCTGAAGTTAGAAGCCGATTGGCTCCCATGCACCGCTGCGCAAGATTATGCGTGAACCAATTTTACTAAATCTGCTCCGTTGTTTAAAGTAAGTACATAACTGTAGGTCATTTACTGCTCGCTCCTGTGATGCTGGGAGCAAGCCTCTAAGGCCAAGTTCACATTAGCTTTGTTAGCAGGCATTAGATAGGTGTTTGGGAAGCGTTAACGCTCCTCAAACGCCTATGAAAATTCTACACAAAGCAGCACACAGTGCTTTTAACACTGTGTTAGCGTTGCGGCAAAATTGACGCCTCATGTCCAGTCAGGAGGAGTTGAAGTCTATGGTGACAATCCTCAAACGCCTGGCAGCGTTTGCGGAACGTTAATACCATTAAACTTCATTATAGGCGTTTGTGGTGCGGTTTTAACGCTTGGCAAACGCCTCAAAAACTTGCATAGAGCGTTTTGGGGAGTGTTAAAAACTCTTCGCGAACGCCTGTCAAACGCTATAGGGGCGTTTGGCAAGAGTTAGAAATTCAAGTGTGAACGAGCCCTGATGGTTGCAGTGTCCTGGAACATGGCCAGGACAGCTCAACATTAACTGGAAGTTTTGGGGCTAGGCTAGACTTTGATAGAAACAAAACAGCATTTCAAGAAAAGACACTCCGCCCATGTCTTTTGCTAGCCCAACCTTCAACCAACTTTCGTTCACCCAGGCAGTGATCCCCTTGCAAAATACCCCAACTAAGCTCTGTGTTGTAGCTCACACAGGATGGATAAAATCAACCCCTCCATCATACAACATTGTCTAGGCCCAATCACAGTATTATGGACAGAGGTCACATGCCCTCTCACACCAAGGAGAAAACCAGGTATTTTGCAGCAGATGGAGGATGCAGGAGAGGAGGAGAGTAGTAGTCCAGGACCAGGGGTTAGGCTAGACATAGGCAAAGTGACCGTCTAATATTTTTAGGTCAATAAACTTATAGCACATAATTTTAATATGTAAACATTTGTATCGGCATCTTTAGACAAACAGGCAATAGATCATCAGAACAGAAGATTTTGAAACAAAAAGGCGATACAGAAAGTGACTTTCAATGCACAGCTTACTTCCGGTCAAACTCTATAGAACAGTGTTTCCCAAAATTACTTTCTGCAACCTGCAAAACCTTCTCACAGCCAACTGTTGGATCCAACAACCAGTAAGGATGCTCTCCTGTAACATGTCCACTGCAAAAAACATGCAACCCCATATAAAACCGTTTCCCCATGCTCAATATGGTATGTGCCAAAAGCAGCCAAGCCCACAGTAACCGTATTCTCTCAAATTGCAGTCAAGTATAGAAATCCTATGCAACTTTCCTTCTAGTGGCCCATTAAAGTGAATGCACTATGGTTTTGTAAATTTGTCTTCATTAAGGCCCTGATCATTTTTTTTTTTTTTAATCAAGAAAATATGAAATGGCACATTATTCAGTTTTCTATCCAGCCAGCAGGTAGAGCTTTAGTCTCCCTTTTACATTATCAGATGTGATGAAAGAAAGCCGATTACAGACCTCCAACCAGTCATAAGAGCAGTGAATCATCTTATCAAGAAAGCTCAGTAGAAGGTTTCCATCAGGCAAAGGGAGCTGCAAAGCAAGCGGTTGTACCATCTTTACAGCTATCCCATAGTGGTCTGGGAACCCAGTGTAAATATATAGCTCACATACATCAAATGTCACTCTCCTAAACCCCCATACACAGACTTTTAAAGGGGCTGTGGCCCAAGGCCTGAAATTTGAGACAAAAGGATAGCCCCATAGAAATCTATAGGCTAGAAAAGACAGTAGATCAAGCCAAGCAGATATTTGTGGAGGGGGAAAGATGGGTTAGGATAGAGAGCAAAAAGCTCAGGGGCCATTTGTTTTGAAGTTCACTTATCCTTTAAGTAATCAAAACAGCAACTCTGAAGAAAAAAACATCCATTCTCAAGGCTTTGGCAAAAAGCTGAGGCATGCTGGTAGTTAGAAGGGTTTTACCCTGGGCCGAACTATGGTTTTTATTGCCAGTGTCCCTTGAAGAAAAGATAGATTTGCATGCAACAAGCGAACACAATCAATACAATACAATGGACACTGCAACTCTTCTAAACACAGGAAATCCCTTAATTCGTATGAAAGAAAAATGGGTGTGAAAAACAAAAAAAGGAGAAGCTACCGCTGATCTTCTAAAAAATACAATTTGGCTGGCTATTATTGTGACATAATGCACTCCACAGACTGACAGATTGGGAATTGAATGTACTATATGAAATTTTGTGCAAATTGGGTTGGAAAAAATACTTTTGACAGAGACCTAAACTGCAACAAAATGGAAGATAAACGCTTTAACTAGAAAAAGTGACACGAGAAACCAAAGACCTGACCAACTGTACAAAAACTGCAGTAAGAAAATCAATGTAACAAAACATTTTACTTGATCATGGTCAAGAAATATACAAAAACTACAAGCAGCGCTAAATACAAATTAGGACAATAAAAAATAAATTTAAGAAATTCAAGTGCAAAGAATCACTTGAAAAAAGGAGAAGTGTACATTCATATTATTATTATTATACAGGATTTATATGGCGCCAACAGTTTGCTCAGCTCTTTACAATATAACGGGAGACAATACAGCAACAATACAGTTCAATACAAGAGGGTTAGGAGGGCCTGCTCCTTGGAGCTATTACAAAAAATGTCCAATAAAGTTCACAAAGTAACCAAAATTTGCAAAATGTGCAAACATCAATGTCTTTTAGGGTTGCACGGAGACCAGCGAGTACTGATACTTTCGGTCGTACCAAGACCTTTGCAGTGTGATTTGAACCCATACAAAAACGTATAGGATCAACCGCACTGCAAAGATATTTGTTCGCGATTCATTTGCACGAGTGCAAATGATAGCAGTAATGTTGTAAACAATTAGGTGTTCTTGTAAAAGTGTGATAGAAGATCTTGTGCTCTTATCAGATATCATCCACTTCTCAGTAGAAGAAAATGTGCTGCCACCAAAACACCATTTCATAAATAGACCTCCTACCACTCCATCCCCCACAGCCACTTCCTCCTGTACCACTATCCCCTCCCTCCTAGATTGTAAGCTCCAAGGAGCAGGGCCCTCGAACCCCTTGTATATTGTATTGTTACTGTATTGTCTCATGTACTGTCCCCCACTATAATGTACAGCACTGAGCAAACTTTTTGGGGCTAAACACTATATAATAATAATAATAGAGCATAAATGATCCGCCTCATACAGTCTCTGGTCCCAATCTGGCCATCCTGTATGGATCAGCTCCAGCGCAGTAAGGACTCACCAGCAGAACACAAAAGATGGAAGGACTCACCGTGAAAAAGCAAAAAAAAAACTCTTTTCTACTTTAATAAAATAAGCCCAAAAGCAAACCGCATCCATGAAGTAAAAAAAGTGCCAGAGATACAGCACAAAATACAATGTAGCAAACTGTATGGACGCCGCTGGATCTCTGGACAGTGAGTGTGACGTCATGCTGTAACCACACCGTATACGTTTTGTCAGAAATGACGTCAAGGAACTGGCTACACTTGGCAACAAGAACACCTGATTGTTTACAACACTGCTGCTATATATGAAAGACGATCATGTTTGCACATTTTGCAGAATTTTGATTTGTGCACTTTATATGAACTTTACACATTTCCTTTTTTTTTTTTTTTTTTTTTTTAAGTGATTCTTTGCACTTTATCTGAATATTTTTTACTATCTTTATTTGTATTTAGAGCGGATTGTAGTTTTGTATTTTGCTTCAACTGGTATCACAATTGTTTAGTAGCGGCTTTTCACAACTATTCCTTCCACAGGTACTAGTGCCCAATGACTAGGAAGGAGGAGAGAAGCAGCCTATAGCCCAAGATGGCACTAACCCCTTTCCACAGCGTGCAAAAAAAAAAAAAAAAAGAAGAGGAGGGGAGGGAGGGAGGGAGGGAGGGAGGGAGGGAGGGAGGGAGGGAGGGAGGGAGGGAGGGAGGGAGGGAGGAGGGAGGGAGGGGGAGGAGAGGAGGAGGAGGAGGAGGAGGAGGAGGAGGAGGAGGAGGAGGAGGAGGAGGAGGAGGAGGAGGAGGAGGAGGAGGGAGGAGGAGGAGGAGGAGGAGGAGGAGAAGGAGAAGAAGAAGAAGAGAAGAAGAAAGAAGAAGAAGAAGAAGAAGAAGAAGAAGAAGAAGAAAGAAGAAGAAGAAGAAGAAGAAGAAGAAGAAAGAAGAAGAAGAAGAAGAAGAAGAAGAAGAAGAAGAAGAAGAAGAAGAAGAAGAAGAAGAAGAAGAAGAAGAAGAAGAAGAAGAAGAAGAAGAAGAAGAAGAAGAAGAAGAAGAAGAAGAAGAAGAAGAAGAGAAGAAGAAGAAGAAGAAGAAGAAGAAGAAGAAGAAGAAGAAGAAGAAAGAAGAAGAAGAAGAAGAGGAAGGAGGAGGAGGAGGGGGAGGAGGAGAAGAAGAAGAAGAAAGAAGAAGAAGGAGGAGGAGGAGGAGGAGGAGAAGGAGGAGAAGGAGGAGGAGGAGGAGGAGGAGGAGGAAGAAGGAGGAGGAGGAGGAGAGAGGAGGAGAAGGAGGAGAAGAAGAAGAGGAGGAGGAGGAGGAGGAGGAGGAGGAGGAGGAGGAGGAGAGGAGGAGGAGGAGGAGGAGGGGAGGAGAAGGAGGAGGAGGGAGGAGGAGGAGAGGAGGGAGGAGGGAGGAGGAGAGGAGGAGGAGAGGAGGAGGAGAAGGAGGAGGAGAAGAAGAAGGAGAGGGGCACAGAAACAGCAGCACGGCTTGAGTTGTTTGCAAACATACTGGCTGAAAGTACTGAGGCCCAGCACCTGCCGCACAAGCCTATATTCTCCCTGCCTAGTTACCAGACCCAGCACCAAGTCTAAATAAAGGAGAACACATGCAGAAATTGTCATAGGATGCTATAAGCCCCCTCCTTGGCACCTCCAAGCCTCTCCCACATCACCGAAGCCATCACTGAGAGAGGTACTATCTGCCATTAACACATGTAAACTATCCGTTTGAAATGTCTGACCAATTAAAAAATTTTACAGAATAACTTTTGAGAGTCAAAAAAGGTAATAACCAATGAAGGAGTATGGAAAGGCATAAAAACGCAATGAGGTTGCAAGGACTTCTTGAATGGAGCCGAATCCGTACAATTCTGGCAGGGAGTGCAAGAAATGAGACATGTAAAAGATTCTTTACAAGTTGAAAACATACCCACAGTGACAATACAAGTTCCATCTTTTATTCTCTGGGTAGCAAAAAAAAATGGTCACTAAGGGCAAGCCCTATAACTCAATGGAGAACTTTCTTTTCTCTACTTTTGATAAACAGATTACTAAACATAAAAATAAGTCAGTTGAAATGAGAAGCCTTTTTGCCAATACATACGAGTTTCAAAGCTAAAGCTCTTTAATCCAGATCAAGAGCCAAGTGTTCAGTTTTCTACAGATCCCTGTCACCACATCTTTCCTCTCAAAAACAACCTTCTCATAAGAGAATATGAGAACTTATTGTGCTTTCCGTGTGTAGATCTCCAAAAGCCCTTAGAGTGCTACTAGGCACGGCCACACTCAGAAACGAGAAGCCAGCAGTCCAGCAGAAACCTGACCTTTTATAGTCCTCAGGGCAAAAGACTTGTCCAACCCTGGCTGGGGTAGACAAAAAAAAAAAAAAAAAAAAAAAATATAAAAACTAGTACCATTGAGAATTTCCTGGGATAACGTTTTCCCATTTTCACACCAAGCAAAGTATGCATTCTACAAGTAGTGGTAAACCCCATGAGAAGAGAGCTCAAAGCCTCAGGACTAGGACTTCAACAGCCAAGCTGTCAAAGCCAGTGTCTGTGACACAGGATGGAATGCGGGACCTTGAGAAAGAAGGCCGAACAGTCTGATAGGGCCCATGGAGAGTCTTCTAGGAGTCCTACTGCTGGAGAGCCATGCTATCCTTGACCACTTTGGTGGAATTAGAATTTCCAGAAAACCTTTTCCCTCTGGCCCTGAGGCAGAAACTTGATAGAAGGTTGGGGGGGGGGGGGGGGGAACAGATAAATGAGGTTGAACCACTGCCAAGGTGTGACTGACTAGGGTATGCAATCCTAGACAGGAAACTGTCCAGTTGGTGAAACACCTCCAGGTGAGGGACCACTTTGGGATCCAGTCATTGGCAGGTTAGAAGTCCACTTGCCAATATTGCACACCACGAATGTGTACCGTGAACATAACCATATCATCGAGTTATGCTCAAGTCACAACTGCCTCTGCTCTTCAAAGAGCAGTCTTACTTCAGGTACCAACTTGCTGATTTACAGATTGGACCCCGATTGGCAGTGGATTCCTGATCTGATAGGCTGGCGTCCATTGTAAGCATTTTACACAACACAAGGGATAGATAGCCCATGTGTACATTCCATGTATTTTTGGTTTTAGTGTTCCGAGACTTTAGATTCTTAGATTGCGCCTGGTCATGCCCAGTATGGTCTCCTGGTTGCACCTGTGCAGTAACACAGGAGAGTGAAGCTGCATTTACAGTAGCACAGCCAAGGCCTTAAGGAATCCATTCCCTCAATGCATTTAACAGGGTGGCTCTTTTTCCACCTGGGTCCAGGTACTGGACTAATAGTAGGGAAAGATCTGGAAACCTGCTACTGCTATTGAGCACCAAGGCTCAGCACAAAAAAAGGCAGTTCAAGTAGAAATCTGTTTTAGATCGCACCATGCACTTATCCTGACGGGCCTGTTCCAGTACACATGGCTGAATGCTTTACCCTCCCCCCTACACCATTTTTCCCCCCTTTATCTCAGCTTCTTTGGTCTCAGTTTCTACCATTTAGGAGCCTTTGAGACTCGTCTTTTTCACTTCTAGGTTTAATCAGTGGCATCTGTGCCTCTTCTCCCCATTTGATGGAGGCTGCTATTGCTTTCCATGAAGAGCAGGCCCCATGGAAAAGGGCCATTATGGAAAAGGGCCATTATGCAAAACCATATTTTTCATACTGTTGTCTTGATAATGACCTGTCTTTTCTGAATTTTGCAAACGCCAGGTTTACTTGTCTCTTGACAATGTAAGTTTTGCTTTGAGACATTGAGCTGAAAAACAAATAGAAATCTGTGCTTAAATGCTAAAAAAGGCTCTTTCAGCAAAGACGGGTCCATCACCTATAGACATTAGCAAAAACTGAGGCAACGCTTTGCCCTTTACTCACATCCAATCACCTGGAGGCAGAACATGACTCATCTAAGAATTAACACTCCTGTGCCCTGTGATGTACAGGGAAAAAAAAAAAATAAATTTGCTGGCACACAAGCAGCCAAGTGCAGCAAGGTGTATGTCACCTTCTGGAACTTGCTTTTTTTTTCTCTCTCGCTTTACTACAATTTACTGTTCACTGAGACCCAACAGTATAGCCATGACTATACTTCCGGTGCTCCGACACGTCAGCTACAGGTGTCCTACACAGCAGCAGCATTACTTGCAGTTGCACTGCCTGCACCTCCTCTCCCCGATGCCCAATCTCAAAATGCATTCATAAATTCCAAAGTTCCCTGTGAATGGGCAGGGAAGAGGAGAAGCAAGCAAAAATGCATATGTGCTAGAGAGCCCTATCTCTCTTCTCAGGACACTGGAGTATAGCAAAAACTATAATGTCAGGGCTCAGGAATGTAGAAATTCCAAAGAAAAGAACCAGGAGGTGACATACACCTCCTTGCACTAAACTCCTGGTATGACATCAGACTTTTAAATGTTTTTCTTTCTTAAACTTGAACCCACTACCTCTTGAGGTTCCTTATGGTGGTCCATCACACTAAAAGGAAGAATGGGGTCCTTTTGAGCTTAAAACTTGCATGTTTATGTTCTATATAGAAAACATTCTAGTCTTTTCCTTCCTAAATAATGGTGACTGGCCAGAATATTCCAGAGCATACAGATTTCAAGAAGAATGCATGTATACCTTCTCTTCAGATGATTCAGCAGGAGCATCTGCTTGCGTTCCATCACTGGACTTTTCCTCAGACGAATCAAACTTTATACTTTTCCGCTTCCTTTCTTTCTTGTTTTTGCTTTCATTTTCTTCTGGTTTAGCCGTTTCTTCTCCTTGCTCACCACAAATGGAAGACTCAAAGAGAGGTTTCCCATTCATGTAGGTCTTGGTAATTTTCAGCTTTATTTCTGGCGAGCCGTTCTTGGTAGGAGTTGTATTGGGAGGAGTCTCAACACCTTGAGTTTCCTGGGAGTCAACAGGCACATCCGCCTCATGAGCACCGGACTCTCCATTGTATACCCGTGAAGTCAGGTCTTTCAGTTTATCAGTTGGTAGAAACGGCAGTGCATCATGACCATTTAGCTTCTGTATGACCCCCTCTTGTACAGAGGTGGAAATCGGTGTTCTGCTCAGATATACAGAACACTCACGACTCATCTCCATGCTAGCGGCTTTCACAGTTGAGTTTTCTATTATGTGAGGAGCTTGCTTCATTTTGCTCAAGTGCTGAAAATTTTGCAGAGAACTTCAAGTAGTATTCTCAATCTTTGACTACTATAAAAGAGAGAAAAGAAAAAATGATTATCAGAAATAATAATAATAAAAAAAAAAAAATTTTAAAAATATGTTTATGCAACAAAAGATACATTGGAAAAACAAGGAACACTGGAAAGAAAAATCAGCTTTTTGACCCCAAAAAATCAGTTTCTTGGAGTAAATCATGGGACACAGGATGTGTATTCAGGTGCATAGGTCTATGTAGCTACCTTTAGGAGACAGGACACAAACACTTTAGGGAAGAAAAACACGCCCCTCTATAACAAATCTCAATAGTGACAGCCCAAAAGAAGAGCTCAGAAAGGCTTTTCTCTACATTGTGTAGTATTGGGTCAAATCATTAAAATGGTTGTAAAGGGAAAGTAAAAAAAAATACAAACACAAACATGTCTATACTTAACTGCTCTGTGCAACAAAATTGCACAGAGCAGCCCCAATCCTCCTCTTCTCAGGTCAGTCAGCGGTGCTCCTTCTCTTGCTGGTGCCCCCAATAGAAAGTGGATTTTCATGGGGCACTCATGCGGGCTCACTCCCGACCCGGTGCTGCGTACTAAGACAAAGATAACCGGACTTGGCCCCGCACTCATCACTGGAGTTGATTGACTGGAGCGGGAGCCAATGGCTCCCACTGCTATCGATCTGCCCAGTGAAGAGGGACAAAACCAGGAGTACCGCAGCTCTTATGCACAGCATTGGATTGTGATGGGGCTTAGGTAAGTATAAGGGGGGGGGGGGGGGGAGTGCGCGAGTGTATGATACAGGCTTTAGAACCACTTTAAAATTTCACACAGGGGCTGCAGCTGAACAGAAGCAGGGTGGGATAGCGGAAACCAAAGTTTATTGGAAGATATCAAGTACATCACCCTGCTCGCCCCTGACAATAGCCAAAGCACATTGGATGGTGCCAGCAGGAATAACTTGGTTACATAGTTCGTTATGATAGAAAAAGGTCCACAAGTCCATCTAGCTCAAATAGAAAAAGAAAATCTCCATATACACAATCCTATACCTAAAGCTGACCGATACTGCACTTTGAATATTGATTTTCTGGGATTTCTGAATGTAGGTTTTTACCATTCTAAAAATAAAATTTTATCACTTGCTACACTATTTGAGCTTACTTACACGTATGAGAGTGGCACCATCTAAAAGCAGAAAAGCTGATGTAGAGACGACAAAAAACTGTAGAATTTACTCTGATGAGCATATGAATGGCCAAAGTGCATCCTGCATATAGCCAGACTTGCCAAGTTTTTGGAAAAATATAATACAGGTACAGTGTGTCCTCCTATGATTTAGAGGTCATAACATCTGGTTAGATATTTGATGGGGGGCATTGCTGACTAAATAGGTGTGTTGTGAAGGATTGGCTGAATGAAGATTTAACAAGTTATGAACTCAGATGTGATGTTGATGAGAAAGGCAACCTTGAAAAACAAGGATAGGCAAAGAAAGCCCTGATTAGTGCAAAGGGCAATCTTTGAAGAGATGACAGAACCAGGATGAGATCCCACAAAGTCATTAGAAAATATACAGGAGGAGCAACACCCTGTAAGAAGGACTTCACTAGAAAGGTGAGAGGAAAGCAGGCTCGAGAACCATTAAAGGTCAAGAATTCACCACTGATGGTATTCAAGGCTAAATGCCAATCTGGAACGAAATGGTGAAAAAAAAAAAAAATAGGGTTCATTTCACAAGAACACTGCGATAAAATTTACTGTGTGTCACATGAAAAGTAGTATGATTTTTAAGCGTGTTAGGAGACTTTGCAGGAGGTCAATTCCTAACCTTCAGGAACATAGGGACTACTGAATCGGAGAGGCCCCTGCTCCTCAAGACCGGGCCGCCAACAGCCAACCTTTTAAGCCAGCAACTCAGAAGCTAGACAGTAAACTGGCGTGTGGGACACTCTAGGACAGGAATAGGCAACCTTAAAGAGGTGGAGATCTACCTGAACATGGGAGAAGTCAAAGATCACCAGGCACAGCGTTACCTCCTCAAGCCTGATTTAAACCTCTAATTGCCGCACTATTATGTCACAATCACGTGCATTGCATGGCAATCATGGGTTTAAATCAGGTGATGAGGCAACATATCGCCTCCTCATCACCTGTCAAGCGCATTGGGATCACTTTGCAGAGGAGCAGCAGTGTCTACTGCACCTTTGAATGAGCCTTTAGTTATAAATCGGCAACAGCATCTTAATGGCTTGTTCACATGCAACATTAGGGGGTGATAAAACCCTGCAGTTGAATCACGGTTTTACCACCCCCGATCCCTACCCCCTTCAGCTGCTGAGGCAGCTGGCAAAAGATGTTCACATGCTGCAAGCAGGAATTACACCCCGTTGCTTTTAGTGGGTGCTACCGCAACTCATTCAAGAAAATGGGCCAATCTGTAAGTGCCCTGCAACTGCATGCTTCTGCAGGGTCCATGGGCTTAAAACTGTTGGTGATAGAGCAGCACACCGCTGCCTGTTTAACCCCTTGTGGCTGTACTGCACAAGGTTGCAGGGCAATTGCAGAGCGGCCGCATTCACTTGAATGGGTCACGATTGGCAGGTGCTACACCCACCAACCATGACAGGGCGCAGGAGCAGCTCTACAGAGGAGGCATCAGCTTACGCGGCTCTTGTTCCCTACTACAGCTCCAACTTTACAAGTAATTCCTCCGAATTGCACTGTTTGATGCTCTGGGATGGCATGTCAGCAAGCCCAGACCGAGGTCTACCAGTTACCTGGCCAAGATCTACTGGTTGCTGACCCCCAATCTAGGAAAACCCATGGAGAGTCTGCCAAAAGCCTTACAAGGCCTGGAGTATCACTCAGTACAGCGGACAGGACTGAAGCGTAATGCACAAGACTTCTGGTTCCTCCCCGATGGATAATGCAAGACAGGGCTTGACAAAACCCAGGCATCAGGACGCCATGAAGACTACCAATTGTGTCCTAGCACCCGGGTTCATACACTCCCTCCCATCGACTTCAATCCAAAAACTCCTGTCAATAGCAATCCTATGTGAACACTTACCTCCGCATGCTACTCTCCTCTATCACTTGCGAGTCTGGAACGCACCGCTACAAAACTCGCACAGGACCTTTTTTCTAATGGTGCACAAAACACAATGTGTATGTATCGGTGTGAACCACCTCAATAGGAACTTATAATATCTAGCCTGTCATGCGAATCACACCTGGGAGTTTTGGAATCGCGGCAGATTTGCTGTGATCGCAAAACGTAGGCTCAGGTGCCATTATTTTCAACAGCACTTAAAACATGGTACGGTTTTGCTGTGACTGGCACGCATCAAAATTGCATTGTGTGAAGCTTGTCACCCAAATGTTGTCTTGACCCGGGCACTGACAACCCATGCTACACTATAAAAAAAAACATTGCCTAGTTCCTCCTATGACCAAGTCCCTTGAACCCTCTCCCCGACCACACCAGGATGGGAACCACTGTGAGAACTTTACAGACCATTTTGGATCTCCCTTTTCCAGGTGGCCCACTATCCATGAGCAACCCTTGTTCTGCTGGTCAGGCATTACAAGTAATCTAGGGATAAAGCCAGCTTGTCCCACACTGCCAGATTGTTGAACTGCAACTGCCTGGAGTTAAAGTGGGCATATGGATTTACTCTGAAGGTGGACACCATTAGGCGCAAGATCCTCATGCAAAACAAAAAAAGCAAAAAAAAAAAAAAAAAGTTGGTTGGCTTCTGGACCATAGAGTCTGAACAGAGGAGTTGAGAGATCAGAGTTTAAGGGGAAAGAAAAGCTTACACTGGGTGTCTACAATCAGACCCAGATACTGCAAGCACTGAGACCGTTCTAGTGTGGATTTGGGGTGGTTTAGAAGCCACCCGATTCTCTGCATGGCCCATTGAACACTGGTTGACTCTTCTCTCGGAAGGTTACCCAGATATGGAGTATGAGGATGCCTCAAGGTGGAAGCAGAGCAAAAACAGTTGCTAGCACCCTTGGTAAGTACTAAATGATAACTGCGTGCCCACAGCAATGATGCACTAGGAAATTGAGGACATGCAAATAAGCATTCCAAGTGTCCAGAGACCAGAAAGTCCCTGTGATGGAGATAAGCAATGAATGGCCAGGTAAATACCATTATTAGCCATTATTGTACCTGGGCAAAATTGTTGTTTCTTGTTGGAAGCGCAGGAGATAGTGAGGGTGTGTGCACAGTAGGACAGCCTGGTCAGTGCTTGTGCAGGACCAGGAAAACAGCTGCTAGACACCATTATTGAAAAAGGCGGTGCAGCCCTAGAAAGAGGGGTGATGGGTACAAGATTGCTTCTCCCAGAGCAGAACAAAGGTCTGTTTACCCAAAAACAATAGCAAACAAACTGAGGCATGCTGGGTATGGGAGGGGTTATATTGAGCTGTTTCCAGTGTCTAGGTCTCCTGAAGGATAACCCATAATGAAGAGACTCCCTAAAACACCTTGCACATTAGCATTTTTAATAAAGAGCAACAGTGTATATACACTCACCGGCCACTTTATTAGGTACACCTTGCTAGTACCGGGTTGGACCCCCTTTTGCCTTCAGAACTGCCTTAGTTCTTCGTGGCATAGATTCAACAAGGTGTTGGAAACATTCCTCAGAGATTTGGTCCATATTGAAATGAGTTAGTTACCCTTCTATCATCTTGAACCAGTCTGCCCATTCTCCACTGACATCAATAAAGCATGATCATCCACACAACTGCTGCTCACTAGTTATTTTCTCTTTTTTTGGATAATTCTCTGTAAACCCCAGAGATGGTTGAGTGTGAATATCCCAGTAGATCAGCGGTTTTTGAAATACTCAGACCAGTGTGTCTGGTACCAACAACCATACCACATTAAAAGTTGCTTAAATCCCCTTTCTTCCCCATTCTGATGCTCGGTTTTGAACATCAGAAAGTTGTCTTCACCATATC